CACAAGTTATGAGCAGTGTGAAAGCAGTTTTTGTTAATAAAATTTTATGCTACAGTGTGCCTAGTTGGTTGTATTTCTTAATGTGTTAAAGATGATACTCTTCTCATCTTTTTTTTGATGCCGATGGGCACATTAGGACATTCACTAGAGTATGTTCTAGTGGTTTCGTATTAGACTTAAGGCAGTTATAAGTTGCTAGCTGCACCAAATTGCCTATCAGTCACTGGGGTGGACTTGGGCTAGTTCAGACAATTTTGGCAGGAAAAATTTTAATGATGAGATAGGAAATCAATCCTCTGAAACTTAGAAGGAAAAATCAGTTTCGACTGCAAGTAAATGGGGTGTTTGGTTGATAGTAGCCTGGGCTGGCTTAAGGCTCCCAGAACACAAAGATGAAAGTCACACAGGCCTGGTATTAAGAGACCTGGGATCTGTGGTATAGGAGCTTTTTAGGAAAAGATTTGAATAGGTGGTTTGCTCACAGAATACATTACTCTCATTTCTCTCCTAATTGTGGTTGTTTCTAAATGGGAGAAAGGACTTTTTAAAAAAATGAATTTCTTAAATCCTCTTCATCGCCATCTTATTTCATAACTTTGCTTCCTTTTCTGTCTACTTTAGATTATTATGATAAAGTTTTATTATATCTGGCTTGAGGTATCTTAAAAGTGTTCAGAAGATAACATGAATACTTTGTATCTGTCTACAGCATTAAGATTGATAAGTGTACTCACATAGAAAATGTTTACATGCATCAGTGATTTCAGAGAAATTTCTGTTTCAAACTTGCTTTTAACAGTCAGATAATTTTTGAGACACAGTAAGAAACTACTGATAAGACCTGTTTGTACTTTTTCTTGGTTGAGCAAAGTATTAACCTTGAATGGGAAAAATTCTGGTGATAGAAAGAAAATTAAAGCTCATACTTGTTCTTTGGATAAAGAAATCACAAACAATGGGAAATGTTTTCTATGCTTCACATGTTGTAGTTGTCTTCAGTGCAGCATATAGGAATCAAAATAAATATTTGCACAAATAACTTTCTTGTTCCCACTGGATTCAAAATTCATGGACTTATGAAAATGGGTATTCTTATAATTAGAAGTTAATTCTGAATGTTTGCCTTCTATGTAAATGTAAAGCTGTTTTTTTCCTCTTTGTTATTTTTAAAGGAATCTAGGCAAAAATGGCCTGTCTAACAGTAGCATTTTGTTGGATAAATGTCCGCCTCCAAGACCACCATCTTCACCATACCCTCCCTTGCCAAAGGACAAGTTGAATCCACCTACACCTAGTATTTATGTGAGTCTGAATTGACTGACTAGATAGCAGCCAAACCAATGTTTACTTTTATTTGTCTTTTGTAAAAAGCTTTTAGGTCAGCATGGCTACTCTTTAGCGAATATTATAGTTATCAGCAGCAGTGTGAATATTTGGCAACAAAAAAGAATTATTGAAAAAGATTTCATGGTATTTTGCAAATACCTTTTCAGCTGTGATTATATTAGAAAATTTGGTTTTTTTTGTTTTTTTGGGTTTTTTTTTTGTTTTTTGCTTTGTTTTGTTTGTTTTTGTTTTGCTGTGCTGGAGACTAAATCCAGAGCTTAGCCTGGTTTGGGCTAGTACTATACATTATTACTACATCCATAGTTTCTCTGTAATTATTTATGTTAGAATAAGTAAAAAATACTTTCTCTGCCTTAATTTTGAGCAATATTAAAAGCTACTTGGAACTACTTAACATTTTTGATAAATTGGGTTTTAAATCTATGAATTGTAATGGACCATAACATTTATTCTGTTTCATACTTATAATAAAAGAAATATCCAAATAGCCTTAGCAGTTAAGAACAGCATTCTCAGCTTCTATATTAGATTTTTTAACTCTTACTGGTTTTTTAATAAGGGCAGTATTGAAAATAAAACCTAGAGCCCCCGTGGATGTCAGTTAAACACTCTGTCATGGACCTACAACCCAGTCCATACTTTGTGCTTTCTTGCTCTCGGGAACTGGACTGAAGGCCTTATGAAAGCTGAGCAAACTCTACCACCACTGAGCTGCTCTCCCTACCTACCCACACCCGCTCCTTGTTTTTTCTTCCTTTTAAAGGTTCAATAATATTCAAAGCACTTTTTTTTTTGAAATTTAGGTGTAATTTCTGCTACATAATTTGTTCAATATGTAGTACACAAAAATATATTTGGTTACTTATTATCTAGTGATAACTAAAATCAAAATGCAAAAATACTTGAAAATAGAAAAGAAATATGAAGACAAGAAATAAAATCTTTACATTGGTGCGCAGTGAATCTGAAGCATAATATTTAAGTTAACAGCTATTTTCCTGAGATGTAACCACATATTTTAATTTAATTTTACAGTTGGAAAATAAGCGTGATGCTTTCTTTCCTCCATTACATCAGTTTTGTACGAACCCAAACAATCCTGTGACAGTAATACGTGGCCTTGCTGGAGCTCTTAAATTAGGTATGCTTTAAGTAAAAATTAAAATGTTTTCTATGCATGCTGTCTTTTAACCTTTTAAAGTATCAGTAGAGAGTTATGTTACTACCTACCACCACTCACACAAACTTATTTTTATTCTGATAAGGATGGGGGGCCGGTGTTGATTTTTATTTGAAATCCATGATTTGAACGCATAATGATGACAGTGTTGGTTGCTGGCAATTTAGAAGTAGTTTTTTAGTTTACCTTTTATTTTTATCTAATAATATAATAGTAGCTTATGTTTACTACTAGGAAAATGTAAGTGAAATTTGGGGTGCTCATCAAATACTGTACTATAGCCCTGTTGGCATTTACTAGCACCTACAAAAATTAAGTACTTGAGAAGTTTGACGATTGAACTCTTGACTCTTTCTTTGTGGGAGTAACATGAGCATTGGGTATGACCAGTCCTTCAGATTATATATAGATGACTTGGTCATTTCTGGGGGGGGACTGGATATATTGCTATAAAATGCTTTATCTTTTTTTAAAAAGGAGGGGCAGTTGTATGCATTTTTATTTTCTTTTTGCTGACTTTATTTATTTATGGCTTGCTTATAATAAAGACCTGGGACTTTTCTCTACTAAAACTTTGGTGGAAGCTAACAATGAACATATTGTCGAAGTAAGAACACAGTTGTTACAACCAGCTGATGAAAACTGGGACCCTACTGGAACCAAGAAAATCTGGCATTGTGAAAGTAATAGATCTCATACTACAATAGCTAAATATGCTCAATACCAAGCCTCCTCATTCCAAGAATCATTGAGGGTAAGTTTCTGCTTCCTGTAAATTATTTTATAGATTTAAAACATGTTTCATTTTGCAATTTTGAAAATAAAATTTATCAGATTATATTGTTACATAAAACACCTTGTAAGTGCTACCCAGTTGACTTTAAACAAATGTATGAGCTGATTTAGTAAGTATTGTTCAGAGATGGAATTACTGTCTAGAAAGATGTTTCCCAGGTTATCTGAGATATTTATGTTTAAAGCAGAGTTTCTTAACTAAAGTACTACTGACAATTTGTGTTGATTTTAATTTTTTTATTTTTATTTATTTATTTTTGTTGTTGTGGGGGCTGTTGTGTGTGTTATAGGGTACCACATATTTCCTGGAGACAGAGTTGTTCCTTATTGAGAATCACTGATTTGGGGGCTACACCTGTCTTGAGTTTGCTTTACGTTTGAAGAATTTCGTATCTTGTGCAGTTATCAGATAGACAACTCTTTCTGGAAGTATTGGTGTTCTTCCTTCCAGTCTTAGTTCATGAAAGAATGCTGAGGAAGAAGTAGAAATTGAGAGGAATCATTTCAACATATATAGAAATTTTAAAATCTGAAATTCAAAACTAATCATAATTATTATTATAATGAGAACTTTGTCCCATAAACTGAAGATAAACCATCCACAGTAGTGAGTTCTTTGAAATATTATTCTGCTTTCTGCTGAGTTGCTTGTTCGCATATCCTGTCCAGCAAATTTAATTTAATTTACTAGATTTGCTTGACTCTTTAAAAATACTTAGAATCTTTCTTTGAGTTCACATTTTTAGTCCATACATTTTTACATGAAATTATATATTTGTGTTCCTGTTTTGGGTTAGGGTTTTTATTGCTGCGATGAAATACCAAAACAGCTTCAGAAGGAAAGACTTATACTTCCACAGCAGTGTTCAGGACAGGAACTCAAACAGGGCAGGAACCTCAAGACAGAAGCCTTGAGGGGAGCTGCTCACTAGCTTGCTCCACATGGCTTGCTCAACCTGCTTTCTTACAGAACGCAGGAACACTAGCCCAGGGGTGGTACTTCACAATCACAAAGGGCTGGGCTCTTCCCCCTCAAGAAAATTCTTACAGAATTATTCTTATAGAAGCATTTTCTCAGTTCAGATTCCCTCCCTTTAGATAACTCCAGCTTGTATCAAGTCCTCTTCTACAATCCTACAAAGGAAATGCATCTAATGAAACCTGTCCTGCAAGTTGCATTGCATTATAGTCAATTATATCACTTTTCTCTCCTTGCAAAGTATGAGAATCTGTAGTTTAGTGGCAAGAAGGAAAGATGTGTGGAATACTAAGCTAAAATGCCTTTTACTAATCTTAGGAAGAAAATGAGAAAAGAAGTCACCATAAAGACCACTCTGATAATGAATCTACATCATCAGATAAGTAAGTCATTTTTCATTTCCACTTAGTATTGCTGCTTAAAAGATATGCTTGTAATTCTGCGTCTTTCTTTTTAAGTTCTGGGAAAAGGAGAAAAGGCCCCTTTAAAACCATTAAGTTTGGGACCAACATTGACCTGTCTGATGACAAAAAGTAAGTCCTTATGATTGTTCTGTAAACTGATGGAACAATTTCTTCTATTTTATTCCCTATTATTTTTCTAAAGTTACATGAGATCAAACTAAATAATTTTACTAGACTTTATAGTTAATTTTTTTAAATTTAAGACTATTGCATGCTATTTTTTTCTTTCTTACTAATACCCTAATTTTATGGTAGTTAATTTTCCATTTATGTTCTAGGTCTATAATTTTGTTTTTCATTGGAAAGATAATTTAAGCATTCCATTTTTCTTATGTGAAAGTAAAATAGTTGTAGATTTGTGGTTTTTGATTAGAACATAAGAGCTTTGAAGAAATAGATAACTTCCACAAATATTTATAGAAAGGCGTTACTTTTTTCTTTACAGGTGGAAGCTACAACTACATGAGCTGACTAAACTTCCTGCTTTTGTGCGTGTCGTATCAGCAGGAAATCTTCTAAGCCATGTTGGCCATACTATACTGGGCATGAACACAGTTCAATTATATATGAAAGTTCCAGGAAGCAGAACACCAGGTAAATTTTATTAACATATCATAAAAGATGAAGCATGTAAAGAGAATCAGACTCTTCCATTTAAAATGAACAGAACTAAAAGAGTTATTGTTCTTATAAGATTTGATGCATTTTACAGGATTTTTCCCCTTGATATCTTTCAAATCTGATATTAATATTTTGTTCTTAAAAAGTTCATTAGAGCTCCCTGTGACCCAACAGCTGTTCCTGCATATTTCTAAGAATGGCAGGGGTACAGTGTTTCCTCACAGTTTTCTAGATCACAGTCATAGTAGAAATATATCATGGCCTAGTACATGTCTTGTATATAACAACAGCTTCACTTTCATTCTGCTTAGTTTTAAAAAGAAACTTTGTTTACTATCATCTGGTTAGGTTGCAACTGACAGTTTCAAAATACCCGATATGGAGCAATTACTAGACTCTTCCTGTGGACTTTGCCACCAGTTAGACTGTGCAGTTTTTGCAAGTCATATCCTTTCTTTTAATTGCTTTCTTCATGTCAAGTTATTTAATTTTCAGCGTTCACGTTTCCATACTACTAATGTAGTATCTTCTTCATGCCCCAAGGATTGACATGAGATGTCTTGAATTATTTACAAATCTCTGTAATCCTAGCATCAATGAATTAGTACCGCCACTGATAAGAAATAACGTACCTATAGGTTGCATATCTCTTGTCACATGTTTTATTCTTTTACTTGAAGTAATCATAGCTTAAAAACCAGACTGCTTCCTCCTTTCTTTGTCACCTTAATGAATCATAGCTTTAGAATCATTTCTAAATAGGACCACGTTCCTTCTGATTAATAGAGATCATTGGTTTCTATCTCTGGCTGTTCAGATGAATCTCCTCTGTAGAATATACAATTTGATCTTTGGAGATTAAAATGTAAGAGTGAGTATTATTAAACCTACAAACAACACAAATTGTTTGTAGTTTTATTCTCGTGTGTCATTTGAAACCTAATTCTGAATAATATACATAGTTAAATAAAGGACAAAAACTGGCATGAATGACAAGAGAACCATGTTCTACTTTCTGCTCCATCATTAGACAGCAATATAAATATTGGGCAGGCTATTTAAACTTATCAGGCTATTTAAACTTTACCAGATTGATTCTGCTTTGAAATCCATCCATTTTGAACTGTTTTCTGCAAATAGTATGCCTTAGTTGAAAAGAATCTTTCATTGTAAATCTTAGGAAAGAACAAATTTGAAGAATAATTGTCACTTGTACCTATACTATTCTGAATGTGTTTTGGATGCTTTATTACATTTATTGTGTATGTTCACAGATGCTTGCACAAGCCTGCATATATGTGCGGTGACATAGATGTTGAAGTCAGAGGATAACATGCCAGAGTCAGTTTCTGTCCTTTTACCATGTGGATCTAGAGGATTGAACTCTGATTATCCTGCTTCAGTAGCAGCAAATATTTTTATGTACTGAGCCAGTTCACTCTCTCTGGACTCTCATGCCTCCTCTCCATTTTGTACATTTTTATTTGGTGGGGGTAAATATCGACACTAAAAATCTTAACATTTTGTTATATTCTTTAAATCATTTTTAATATTAATTTAAAAATAGATTTCTGTACATGAGAGAAAACGTGACACTGCTTTCTTAAGCTGCTCACATCATGCAGCATAATAATCTCCAATTCCATTTATTTTCCTTTGAGTGTTGTAATTTCATTTTTCTTACATCTGAGTAAAATTCATGTTGTGTTTATGTGTGACAGTTTCTTTTATTTCATTTATCTAGGCTGGGTCCATGTTTTTAGACTATTATAATAGTGCAGCAGTCAGTGTGAACATTATTATTTCTGTGGTTTCTTGATGTAAATTGGATTATACAGAAGTTGTGCTTGTAAAGTTTCTGAGGAATCTCTATACCCATTTCTGTTGTTGCCACCAGAAGGGTTTCTTTCTTTATAGCCTCACTAGCACTTTTTGTCCTTTGTTTTCTTCATACCCATTCTGTCTGGGTTAAGAGACAGCAATTACAAAGTAGTTTTAATTTTTCATTTTCCTGATGTCTAAGGATATTGAGCAATTTTTCAAATATTTATTTGCCATTTATAGTCCTTCTTTTGAAACCTTAGTTCATTAGCCCATTTATTGAATGAGGAGGAAGAAGAATTTAATATTTTTGGTTCTTTATAAATTTCTACAGTTATCCCCCTATCTGATATGCTTTTGGTAACGATTTTTCTCCCATTCTCTCAATTGAATATCTGAAGAGTTCCTTTAAGGTAGTAGTGTCCAATAGGAATGCAATGCAAATGAAATACATTTTAAAATTCATTTTGATACATTAAAGTAGGAAAAAGTTAATTTTGCCCTATAATATCCAAAGTATAAACATATAATCAATACAAAATTACAATGTTGTTTCACAGTTTTTTATGCCAATATTTAAAATCCAGTGTATACTGTGCAATTGCTACTGCTTCCAACTCACATTTCAAACAGTTTTTGTTATTAGATGGCATAATCTTACAAGAGATGTATATACTTTAATCAGTACAACATAAGAAATACCATTTTGTGTGTTCTGGAGTTACTTATGTGCAAGTGATAGCAGTTTTAGCTGACTTTATCAAGCATGTATATTTTAAACTACAGGATTGTGCTCAGGCTTTACTCTTAAAGAATTTTATATAGACATTTCAAGTTGAGTAATTCTGATTATAACAACAGCTTATTTTTATTTGGAATTCCTACTAAGGGAATTTCCAAATATCTACTTATAACTACGAAGTACCCATTATATTGCTTACCCTGAGTTAGGTGAAACAATAATGAGCCCTTGCTTCAGTTCTTTGCCGAATTCTCAGTTAAGTGAAAATAAAACAAAATATAATTCCTTGGAACAAAGATTACTTGCCTACATCTAGAACAAACAGGGACCAGGGCACTACACCAGAAATACAAATATTAAGTTTTTAAAGTTTATAACTTAGCATGTAATACAGGGAAGGTAAGATAAAGTATTATATTACAAATGTATATTAGCTTTAAGTTGTCTTTCATTTGGTCAGGTATTTATTTCAAGGCATTAAACATATGATTTCTCCCTGAGTTCTGATAAAGTTGATCTTGATGTTTGGAGAGAGGGAGCATCTCCTATTTTGCCAATTTTTTGTTGGCACCAATCCTTGAGAGTAGCTGTTTTATTTTTTTATTACCCTTTAAAGGATTTATTATTTTTAGTTGTGTGGGTATATACATCAGTGCAATTGGCCACGGAGACCAGAGGTGTGAGATACTCTTGGAGCCCCCTGCTGTGGTTTTGAGATCAAAGTGCAAGAGCAGCCATCTCTCTAAACTCTGTTTTTAAGACCAGGCTTTGTTCACAGTGAAAAAGAAAAAAAAGTAATGGCAACTGTAACTAATGTATATTGTTATATTAGACATCATTCTAAACATTTTCATTCATCTTCAAAATAGTAATCTTATAGAAATTGTTTATATTTAGGAAAGTGAGCCTAAAAGCTTGCTTTGGTTAATGTTACACTGATCCAAGCAACCTATCATAGCAGAAACTCTACTTTTCCTTCCATGTTAGCCATTACTGAGTAAGTTAGGAGTGGTTGACCAAACTCCGTCATAAAGCCACACTCAACACTATAAAGAAAGAACTGAATCTTTAACATTCTCCATTTAACATTTTAAAGGTTTCATGTCTAAAGACACATTTTCTGTAGAACTAATAGTATGTTGATTTATTTTTCTTTTCACTTTTTAGGTCATCAAGAAAATAATAACTTCTGTTCAGTTAATATAAATATTGGCCCAGGTGACTGTGAATGGTTTGTTGTTCCTGAAGGTTATTGGGGTGTTCTGAATGACTTCTGTGAAAAGTAGGTTTCCAAACTGAGTTTATTTAGACATAATTATTATACAACAATAATTGTAAAGGGCAAACTGGATAGCCTAATAAGAATATATAGTCAGCTTTTAGTTACCATTTAGTGGAAAACCTATTATTTTATGTTATAAGAAAATTTATGGTCGCTGTCATAGTTGTTATTTTAATACAAAATCAGTCATTGGTCATATGCAAATAAATGGTAATGTCTGCCTTCTAGTAATGTTTATTTATAAAATGTCAGCATTATATTTTTGTATAAACTTTAACCTGATATGAGGTAACAGTTGCTTCTTAGATTTAAGCAAATATTTCCACTATATGAGTTCTTCTTCCCCAAAATTATAAAATTTGAAGTGGTTAGTTGAAATGTATAAAATTCTTTTATAGGAAAAGTTGTTGTATAGTTTTTCTAAAGTGTTTCATCTTATGATGAATAACCTGCAAAATATTAAAATTCAATATTAGTAATAGGATCTATAGAATGTTTCCAAAATGGTGGTCATAGTAGTGGTCACGGTTATTGTGCATGATGTGTACAAGTTTGTTTTCAACTGCCTAGTTTTAATTAGGTGATCTTGTAAACCATATACAAGTTGACAAATTCTACATCATTTTCTCCTTATGAGTCAGAGCAGCAGTAGAGACCAGATTGAGTGGAGTTTCTGAGTCTAAATGAATTCATTTCCATCCTCTGTCTTTTAATGATTTCCAGGTACTGTAGGAAGGGAAAGGTTCGTGTCGGAAATTGGAGTGGGGGCTTAATGAAATGAAGTGCAATTAATTTCACTTTATATACATACAGATGTTTTCATTACATTATCAGTTAAGCTTTGTTGAAATTATCATTAAAAAACTTCTGACATTCCTTTTTTCTGAAGAAATATTAGAGTCCTTCATCGATTTGCTCTGTTTTTCTTATTTCAGAAATAATCTGAATTTCTTAATGGGTTCTTGGTGGCCTAATCTTGAAGATCTTTATGACGCCAATGTTCCAGTATATAGGTTTATTCAGCGACCTGGAGATCTGGTCTGGATAAATGCAGGCACTGTTCACTGGGTTCAAGCTATTGGCTGGTGCAACAACATTGCTTGGAACGTTGGTCCACTTACAGGTATTTTAAAAGAATAGACTTGAAAAAAGATTTACCCTTAAAAAATTCTAAATAATAAATGTATTTTTTTCTTTACAAGAAAATGCCTCCTTTTTTCTCCTGTATTATGTTTTATAAAATATAGTTAGAATTATACCTATTCTCGGGTAGTATTGCCCTGAGATTAAGAATGTGGCCTTTGGAGCCAGAAAGACTTGGGATTCGAACTAGGACTTGGCTTTTGTAAGTTTACGCAAGTTACTTAATTCCTCCAGTCCTTGATTTCTTCATCTGGTGACGATAATAAGGCAATGCTAAGAATTAAATGAGATAATGGATAATAATTTGTTGATACAGTATCTGGCAAATGGTAATATGAAGCACTCTATATGATTACTACTGATAATCATTTTTGTAAGCCAGGTAATAGTAGCTCATACCTTTAATCCTAGCATTCGGGAGGCAGAGACAGGCAGATCTCTGAGTTCGAGGCCAGCTGGTCTATGAAGTAAGTTTCAGGACCTCCAGAATTACACAGTGAAGCCCTGTGTCAAAAAACATAAGCAAAGAAAAAAAATTTTTTTTGTGATGCTTTAAGATTTTCATGAGATGATAATGGTTATCTTCACATCTTTTGATAGTTTAGTTTTTGTTTTTGTTTTGTTTTTAATTTTTTCCCCTAGCCTGCCAGTATAAATTGGCAGTGGAACGGTACGAATGGAACAAATTGCAAAGTGTGAAGTCAATAGTACCCATGGTTCATCTTTCCTGGAATATGGCACGAAATATCAAGGTTTCAGATCCAAAGCTTTTTGAAATGATTAAGTAAGTGCTTTCTAAAATTGCTACTCTTGGTGTGGCAGGGGGGTGTTGACTGTCAAATACTTTTTCCACCATAGAATTATGGTAACATTAAAACAAGATGATCCAGAAGTCTAGCAAAATATGAGAATCTGCTTGTTGCAAATACAGTTCCCTTCCAAATAGCCCACTATGGTTTAAAAAGGAAGTTAGAAAATTTTCTACAGCAGAAGATTCACAATATTAAATGTCTGCTTTTAGTCACTGAAGGAAGAATATCACAGAATAATTGTTATTAGAAAGTAGTTAATATAGTGAGTTGACTAACATGTCATTTTTCCCGTGTTGATCAAATTATAATTGTTCCCCCTATTTTGGCTGTTTTAAGTACTTTATATGTTTGTATAAAGTCTTATCTTAGTGACTTAGTTTGAATATGTGTGTGTAACTCATTGTCAGGTTCTACTTACAAGTAATATTTTCAAAGTATTTTTTATAATAGTGTAAATTTCACTCACTAGTGATAGGGAATTATGGTCAAAAAATGAGAAATGAGGACTGGGGTGATGGTTAAATCAGTAAATTACCCATTATATAAGCTTGAGGTTCTTCATTCAGATCATTAGAACAGATACCAGTTGCCATATCCAGCTTTTGGGTATGGCAACTGGTATCTGTAACCTCAGCACATTTGGGCAGATACTGCCAGAGCCCTAAAGTTCGTTGGTCTGCCACCCAAACTGAATTGATGAACTACAGATTCATTGAAAGACCCTGTCCCAAAATATAGATGGAGAGCCATTTGAGAAAGACACCTGAGATTAACATGCATGTGCACCAGTACCTATACAATAGATGTTCCTACATAGAAGATAAAGGGGGAAGTGATGGATTTAATTGAGTCCTTTATTTTTTCAAAAAATTTTAGACATATTTTCCAAATTTGTTTGACTAGTAACTTTTACAGAATTGGCCTCAAAACTTCATTTTAAAATATTCTGTTGTACACTTCCTGATATTTTGGTGTAGTATTTATATTAAGTACTTCTCATCTAGGTATAGTGATTTACTATGTTTCAAAATGTTGTCTTTTGAAAATAACCCTAATTATTTAAAAATTATTTCAAACCTAAATCCAAATTTTATGTGTAGGCAAGGTAACATGTCTGTGACCTCTCTTCATTTGTACTATTTTACCTCATCTTAGGACCAGGTACAATATATATGAAGATCAAAAAACAAAATCAAAGCATAACATGTAATGTACTTACATAATTGATCATGGCTGGGAGTTGTCTCAGAACAATTACTTTGCTTAAAATAGCAGATTCATTGCTTGCTGGTTGTTTGTCTTTGGTGGGTAGTTATTGACCATGTTGAGTAACTCAGATTATCAAAAGGTAATGTAAATTATTTGCTAATATTTGTTCCTTTTGCTTTTGAAAGGGGGTATCACTCTGTATCTCAGACTGGCCTAGAACTCACTATGTAGTCCAGTATGGCCTTGAACTCTTGGCAATTCTCCTATGTGCCTCACCCTCAAGTTCTAATGTGAAAATTTTCTCTTTGTTCTTTAGTGTCCATGATGTCAATATGTCAGTTTATGAATATAATGTTTCATTTTCACTCTCTTTTGAAGTTGTCCTCTAAACTTTCACTTACCTTTTCAAATCAGTTTTTGGCTGGATTGTGTGACTTCAAATATACTATGCTTGCAGCCTCTTTTTGTGGTTTTTTTTTTTTTTTCATGTATATATAAGACAGGAGTCTCATTGGACAGTTCAGGCTGTTCTAAACTTATCCTCCTGTCTCTACCTCCAATAAGATTGTACACATCACCTGTCTTTTAACATAGTTTTTCATCCAAATAGTTAAATAACAGGAGTTGAATGTTAAAGAATTGTCTTTCTCTATCTGCTAAAATAATTTCTGACCCTGTTCCTAAAATATACTTACACACAAAAAAGTGGCATTTTTTTTTATCTTAGACAGTTTTGTTTTGTTTTGTTTTTCTACTGAAATCTTAATTGTTAGGCAATGAGAACATTGATCCTATTACTTCCTGGATTCATTGCCCTTGAACCTCTAGATTTGAAGTTAAATCCTGTTCAGTGCTTGCCTCTCTAAATTTTCTAATTCAGTTGCTGGACACAAAATTTCTGTGTTCAAACATGATAAAAGCAAGGAAAAAGTGTAGTTTTACATTTTCAGAAAATAAATACATTTCCTAGGATTCTTATAGCAGAAAATAAATATTACAGAGTGATGATTTGCAGAAGACTTCCTAGCATCCTCTAACTGAAGCTAAATTACCAAAGTAGTTAATAGCTTTGAAGATGAAGGTTCATTTTTGTGAGTAAAGACTGAAATGATACTCTATAGATCCAAGGCTTGTGTTTCAGGGTGGGGGTGGGAGCTAGAGGGAGTAAGAATAGGACATGGAGAGTACCCAAAAAAGAAGGACTACAGTGTGCGATGGAGAAGTTTGAGGCTTCCTGCTTTTCAAACCTAATTCATATCTAGTCTAGAGACTTGTATTTTTTTCATACAAATTTAGTTACACTGAGGCCCTGAGTTCCTGCATTTGCAATACAAAGATAACCCTCCTAACTGAGCAGTTAAAGAATTTAATTGGCATAAAGTAAGTGGTATACCAGATAATTCCCCCTGCCTGGTATTTTGTATTCATTTTTATTTATATTATTTTTGTTTGCCTTTATATAGAAGCATAGTTGAGTTTGCAAACCTTATTTAGATATCTGCAGTTTAGGCATTGTTTTCTTAAAGAAGGAAAATGTTATTTTGAAGCTTTGCATTAAATAAAAAAGAGAAAAAATCTTGAAACTGGGTGGTGGCGGCGGCACACGCCTTTAGTCCCAGTACTAGGGAGGCAGAGGCAGGCAGATCTCTGTGTGTTCAAGGCCAGCCTGATCTACAAAACAAATTCCAGGACAGCCAGAGCTAGCCCTAAGCCCTATCTCAAAAATAAACATACAAAAACCTTGAGTAAGATCTGTGCCTTTAGAATTAAATGAAACACCGAGGAGGAGTAGAAGGAGCCACAGGCCATATTGAATTTTTAGCTGCTGCTTTCTCTAGTACCATAAATATATACATACCCATATGCATACTTACTCTGACAACTGCTTTTAGGTTTGACATTTAACCCCAGCCTAAAGCATTGTTTTTAAGTAATTTAAAAATTCAAAAAGTCAAGAAACCAAATACAGTGAACTTCTTGGAATATGATCTTTAAAGAAAGCCTGCAACCCTAAAGTTGACATTATGTTTTGTAAGTTTATAGCTAAATAATTAATTCACCCAGCTAAGAACCCAAGTTAATAACTCATTTAAACAATGAGTCAGTTTTTATATATTAAGTAAGACCTTTATGTTGTGATGTTCAGATACCAATTAATCTCAACTATAAATGACATGATACTGTCATCCTTAGAACTGCTGAGCATTTGCCCTATTTTTTAATCTAATAGTATCTGAAAAATTGACAAATGAGCTGGGCGTGGTAGCTCACGCTTATTATCTCAGCACTGGGAAGGCAAGTTTGATTGTTGCACACTTGAGGCCTCTCAAATGCATGCATGGTGAGTTACATGCTATCTTCAGCTATCAGGTCTCAAAAATATCTGGGAAGGGAAAACAGAAGACAAACAGCAAAAGGAAAATAGACGTTAGAACCAAATCTCTTGGCATTATTTCTGATTGGTATGTCTCTTAGGTGAAAAATATGTAGTATTTAGCTGCTAGTAATGAGTCATTTCCCCCTATCTTAGGTATTGTCTTTTGAGAACTTTGAAGCAATGTCAGACATTGAGGGAAGCTCTAATTGCTGCAGGAAAAGAGATCATATGGCATGGGCGGACAAAAGAAGAACCAGCTCATTATTGTAGCATTTGTGAGGTAAGTCATAGTTCTTGCCCACAGTTGTTTATAGAGAGTTGCTTTTGTTTTTTAATCAATCGTTTTTTGGTAATGCAGTTTACTGTGATTGGCATTGTCCTCAATTTTGCTATTATCTTATCATATATTAATATTTAATGGTGTAACAGCTCGTTAACCTTTAACATATCTACTGTAGTCATTTGGCTGGTAGATCATTAACCAACAAGGAAAGTTGTGAGATTTTAGATTGGGAGAAACCTTGATGTATACAGACGTCAATAAATTGGGTTGAGTTTGGTATAACTCAGTGTACTTCAGTGTTTATTCTTTCTGGTGGAGTTCCCAGTTCCCTTTTCAATCTTCTCCTGTGACTAAAGGTTGCAAGAGTAACAAAGTGGTACCGGGTCTAAAGGAACTTAAAATCTTTTAGGGGAGGATAGGTTACAATTAACTTAGTAGTACTGCACATCAGGCTATAATGAATATGAAAGTGGGTTTAGTAGGAAAAATGCAGAGAGGGAAATAGTTCCTTTCTGGTATTGGCAATAGGAGCTCACAAAAGCAAACAAGAAATCCATAACTTTTAGCCCTCTCTTGAAGGACGAATATGATTTCAACAGACTACAAACTAGTGAAAACACTGGTTGGCTTTAATATGGGTACCATGAGTGGGGAAATGGAATGGCTTTAGAAAAGGGTAGGTACCTAGTGCAACTACAATATTAGCAGTGCAGATTCTTCTCACAAATCTAGGTCACATGGTAGCTTTCAGTGCGTCTTGAATGCCATCAAATAATGTGGTATTTCTTCCAGAGTAGTTGAATCCATCAGAAACTTGAGAAGTAAACCAAGTCATATGTCTGTTTCAGAGAAAGGAATGGTTGTAGCGGACAGAGAAAATGAGACACAATACAGTATGCTAGACTAGAACATGACAATGGATTGTTAAAATGGTACAATAAACAGTGGTTCTCAACCTTCCTATTGCTGCAACCCTCTAAGTTTCTCATATTGTGGGGACCCCAACCATAAAGTTGTTTTTTTTTTTTTTTTTTGTTGCTGTTTCATACCTAATTTTGCTTCTGTTATGAATCGTCAATTTTTTGGAGACAGGTTTGCCAAAGGGGTTGTGACCCATAGGTTAGGACCCAGTGATCTAGAAGATGAAATCCACGAGGTAACTCATTAAAAGTTAGAAATGAGGGACAAGTTAAAGAATGCTTACAAAATTTTCAGCTACATTCTTTATACTCATGTTGTTACCCATTTATGATAATGTGAAATATGATAAACTGGCATTTATTTAAAATTTTAAATTAAGTTTTATCACACTTTTATAACACTCCTCTCAGTCACTCCCCTAAGTATGACTGCTATAATGTCTTGGGATTTGGTGCAGTGTAAACATTTTCAATCTCACTCTTAACCCTCCGCCCCACCCTGACCCCCATATTTCTGACTGTCTACAATTGTGTTAAAGTAGAAGTCCATGAATACACAGAAGCAGTACGGTAAGCACCACCATCTCTATTGACCCCAGTTTTCATTTGTGTAAAACAGGTGGAGGTTTTTGATCTGCTTTTTGTCACTAATGAGAGTAATTCTCGGAAGACCTACATAGTACATTGTCAAGATTGTGCACGAAAAACAAGTGGAAATCTGGAAACTTTTGTGGTGCTAGAACAGTACAAAATGGAGGACCTGATGCAAGTCTATGACCAATTTACATTAGTAAGTGAAATCAACATGTGAGTACATTAGCTGGCCTGGGAGGCAGTAGTGTTTATTCTGCCACCTGGTAAATGGGAGGTAATGAAACATGTAGATTTTCCTTTGGCTCAAGATATTATATGAGGGTGTATTTATATTGGTTCCACTACCTTCCCTTCCAAGTATTTATTCCTGTAAAATTGACATACATCATTTTTCATTTGCTTCTTAGAGAGACCAACCTAAAAATTATTTTTAAAACTGCTTTACAACAGTGTCATGATTTTCGTCTCGTTTCATCACTGTTGATGGAATGCTTGTTTGCATAGTTAATGCTCACAAAATGAATCTGTGAGTGTGCTTTGAAATTCAATTCTACTTTTAGGGATAATTGAATTTGTTTAAAATTGTATATAGCAGATCTTTTAATACCATGGGAGTCTTTGAAATAGCGCTTGCTGGTATGTGATACAACTTTATGAAATTCAGTGTACTCAACAAATCACAAAATTTTTCACTTCAAGCCACAGGTGCTTGTGGGAAGCATTTCTCTCAAAGCAGATCTGAATAGAACTACAGAATTTATGAATTTTCTTTTCTTCTAATACTTTCCACATAGGTAATCAAAAACTAACTTGTGAAATTTAATGGATGGTCTTCAAGATTGCTTCCAGAAAAAAGAAAATTATTTGTAATTTACCAAAAAGAATGTATCACCTTCCTAAGACAGTTTCCAGAAGGCAATCACTAGTAAAATTGTAGTTAATTTGTTAAATTGTTTCTATAAAGTCCTGTCAAAGAAAGCAATATATACAAAGTGGTAAGCTAATTTTCTAAGAGCTTTTGGAGGAACAGTAAAATAAAGGTAGTCTTAGATTCTTAGAAAAAGCGGCCAGGTGGGAGAGATCGTAAAGGAAGTTGCACTGTGTAGCAAGGCTTTTGACCTTTTAACAGAAAATAATTTCTTCTAATCTCATAAACCAACTGCATGTTTGTAGCTGTGAACCAAGGAGCACAACTAGTGATGAATATACCAAAATAGTCTGCCTTGCTTCCTTTCCAGGCCCCTCCATTACCATCCGCCTCATCTTGATATTGTTCCATGGACATTAAGCATGAGACCTTTTCTGCTATTCAGGATGTAACCCAGTTCTGCACCACTGGTTTTTGTAGCTATCTCGTAAGGCTGCTGGCTGAAAACTGTGTCTATGCAACCTTCCAAGTATGGAGTATCAACCAACTGGACAGGGAGAGAGTACTGCTCCTACGCCAGGACTCTCAAAGCTAATCAGCTGAACTTCAGAAAAAATAATAAATGATAATTCCCATGTTTTGTATATATCTGACAAAACTGGCAACACCATACAGACTACTGACTTGAAGACAACCTCTTTTATATTTCTGTATTTCTGGTTTTCATCCATCTTTTCCCTTTCAGAATTTTCCTTGGGGGAGAAAAACAAAAACAAAAAAACTACTAGCCTAGCTAATCATTTCTTTGTAAGGTAGTTAGCAATTTTAAGTTTTTCTTTTCTTTTTTAATCCGAAAAGTTGAGAAACTTTCTTTTTTACTGCTTTTATGTTTTTCTGTCTTGTTTTGAAACCATGATGGTTATACTTTTGGTTCCTAAATAAAACATTTAAAAAAATTAACAGCCAAGTCACAAAGATAATGCATTGCACATAGACTAAGAAATTTCAGATTTGTGATTTTTGTTTCTAATCTTGATGTAAATTTACACTATTTATAAATACATATTTATTGCTTGAAAATATTTGTGAATGGAATGCTGTTATTTTTTCCAGATTTACCTGCCATTGAAATTTTAAGGAGTTCTGTAATTTCAAACACTACTCCTATTACATTTTCTATGTGTAAATAAAACTGCTTAGCATTGTACAGAAACTTTTATTAAAATTGTTTAATGTTTAAAGAGTTTTCTATTGTTTGAGTTTAAAAAGAATTTATGTATAGTGCCCAATTTTTGTTCACTTTTCAGATCTGATTATATATATTTTATATATACTTAAGTCTGTATATATAATATATATAGAAATCTAGATATATATGTGTAAAGATTTAGAACTTGAATTTTTCTTGTTTTAAGTTTCACATCTATGGTAGATTTTTGAGGTGTCTACTGTAAAGTATTGCTTACAAAAAATATGATTATTTTTAAAGAAATATATATGGTATGTATCTTCACAACCTAAAATGTCAGACTGGTTTATTGCAACTACTGCAATTACAGACAAATAAATAAGTTCTGCCAAAATGTAGTATGATAGAAAACAAATAGTGATTGAACTTAAAACTTTAAAGGTAGTTTTAACACAGGCTTGCCAAATCCTATACAATACTCAACATTTTATATGGGGAGAAAATTCCAGGATGAAGGGTCCTGTTTTAGATTGAAAATAAATTAAGAGACTTATTTTTTAATGTTAGGCAATTTTGAAATCTTATGCTTTCCTGTATGCATGACAGTGGGGTGGGTGACTACAAATTCCTTATCACCAGTAAACTATACTAGGCTATATTAGCATTCCCAAATTACTTCCAAGTAATGCTAGGATTTCATTTTCTAATAATAATGGCACCTTGTATTTGTACCTCCATTTTCTCAAGTACTTGGAACACATGTACTTAAAAGAATTTTCCACAAAATTAGGGAAGAACAGAATGCTGTAAGTAAAGGGCGGGTTGGTTGGTTGGTTGGTTGGTTGGTTGGTTGGTTGATAGAAGTGAAGAAAATCTCTAGTCTTGTCTGTTAAAATGCCATGTTGACTACATTAATTATCTTTTCAGATAGTTTTTGGAGTATGTCTTAGGAGCAGTATAAGGACTGATAGCATAGAGATGTTTCATTCAGTTGGTTACTAACTTGGTAAACATTGATTGTTTATTGGCATTCATTTCTTATTTATAACTTAAGGAAGGAATAATTCAAAGTCATTTATCATAGTACTGACCACTATGCTTAACCACAAATAGTTTAAATGGTTACTTTGTGAAGATCACCTATCCAGAAAGTCCTCCAGGGTGAAATAAGCTAAATGTTTTGTGAACAAAAATTATAAGCTACCCTTTTAGGAGCAAAGCTACACCCAACTGTTCTTACTTTGTTCTTGTTTCTCTTGATGACATATCTTCTGTGTGATTTTGTTAAGATTATTGTCAAGATGAGTATGTTGTCTTACATTTTATAAAAGAGATTTTATGTAATCCACATTTAAATAAATATATCAAGATTAATACTTGCTAGGAACTTAGTCTTTGAATAGAGAAGGTAGAAGTCAAATCAGTTTTACTCTCAGATGAGTGAAGTTCTTTGTCATCAGCCTTACTTCAATTAACAGCCTTTATGATTTGCATTTTTCAGATTTTAGAAGATAGGATAATTTTGTTTTCTTTACTGTTTGTATTGGTAAGTTCATTAAGTCACACAGTATCCTGATGGCTTAGTAATGAAACAAATTTGCATCATATAGCATATACACTGGTCAGAAAAAGAAGCTTATCACAATACATTACAGTGTTGATTCAGAGTGGCAACAAATTTTTTCTCATTGTCACTAATTAAAAAATAATGTTAATGAACATCAATATAACAATTCAGTTTATTTAACCTGTTATTCTAGGTTGCGCATGTTGTAATAAAATCTGAGTCGCTTGAGTAACAAATTGATAATTAGAACTCTTCAGAGTACTAGTAATTGACCAACCAGAATTGAGGATCATGTGTTAGAAGCTTAACTCAATGAGGTGTCTTCTTCTAGATATGAAATACTAAAAATTGTGTGTTTGATGAGGGAGCGATACCCAAGTGCCATGCCGTAAAGTTATGTGGATTTTCATTTATTCCACGTTTGTCCTGCAATGGATAAGATGTAATTCTTGCTTTTTAGACTTTATACATACATCTAGGAAGGGAGGAGATTCAAATCCATATATTATGGGAAACAGAGGAGATAGCAAGTAGCAGGAGTGACATTAGGGCATGCATTTCAGTATCATTACACCTAACAGGGCAGGATTGGAACCCCAAGAGTTATGGCTGAGGTTGAAGAAATACCAAAAGTCAGTTTGGGGAGATGTAAGGACTTAACATTGGAAAACTGTTCCTGCTATATGAGATGTTTGTATTTCATTTTGTAGTTAGTATGAAACCATCTATTGGATTTAAGCAAAAGAACATTGAAACCTCACTGTGTTTCCTTGAACTCATGATCCTCCTAAGCACAAAGTTTACACTTCCATACCTGGCCTGGCTTTATTGCCCTTTGTAACCATTTTTTCTGTATTGCAACTAGGATGTTTCTAAAGCTCAGAACGAAAAGGAAGAGATATTGTGGGTTTGAACTTCAAATTTTAAAGACTAGATAGATCTTTTTCAGTTAAGTGAGGGTACTTCTAGCCAGAATAGGAAATAACATGAGAAGTTCTATAGGCAGAAGATGTAAGTTAAATTAGTAATTGGATGTTTGAGTCCAAAATTAAGGAGTGACCACAAATATAGCTGAATATCCTTGGAGGTGGTGCTAAAAGAACAGTAAGATAATACAGCAACTGTTAGATGAGAACACAGGTGGGCTGAGTCCAATACAATTATCAGCACTTAAAAGCAAGCTGCAAAGGGGCAGGAAACTTTAGATAAGTAGTCCAAAACTTTTTGAAAAATTAACCAGATGCCGTGGGGTTGCCATCTGATGGTTGATATTTATCAGAGCTGCTTCAGTGAAGTGACAGCCTGATTGTTGGGAGAGATTAATTTTGGAAGACATGAGATTTGGTCTTTTCAGGACCTCTACACAACAAGTTGTTTTGTTACTCCTTGGTGACTGGCAGATCACCAATCTCAGAAACCTATGTAGGGTTGGTGACGTGGGGAAAGTAAGAGCACTTGCCACAAAACCTGCAGTCTGAGTTTGATTCCCAGAATTCAAAATGGTGGAAAGAGAACAGACTCCCTCAAGTTTCTCTGGTGTGTGTCCATGCAGGTGGACTGTTAGGACTTAAGTACTGTTTTAACCTCATTTTTGCATATAAGTAAATTGAGTCAAATGGATATCATATAATTTGCATTAAGGATTGTTATTTAGTGGGGAAGCCAAAATACCATTTTGCAGTCCTGTTCCAGATTTGTACTTCTTAATAGAGAACTCTAGGGCTCACTTAATGCGTAGTCCACCACTGTTGTTTGTAGTAAGGACTTTTCCTGTTTTGAATTTTTCTTTACCATGATCAAGATGTCTTTAAACTTGATAGCCTATAATAAAGTTGACCATATCTGTTATAGTCCAAAGCAGGATTCCCTTGAGATTGAAAAAGCACTATTAATAAATAATCGGGCTGTACAACAGCTATAAAAATGGAACTGCTCTGGACAAACGAAGGATGTGTGACCTATAACATTAAGTGATTAAATATGAAATGGCAGGTTCCTAATGAACATAAAGACTTATAAGATTTATAACTGTGCATGAGATCAAAGATAGGTCTAGTAGGTTGGAGAGATGGGTCATTGGTTAGCAGGTATTGATCTCCCAGAGGATCTAGGTTCAATTCCTAGCACCCACATCAGGCAGCCCACAACTTTCTGTAACTCCATCCAGGTCCAGGAGATCTGATATCCTCTTCAGGACTCCATAGTCCCATGTATTCATATATGACCCCCACACATACACTTGGTATGTTTAATGTGAAGCAATACACCTAAGTACACTTGCCTTCAAAAAAATGCTTAATGTATTTAAGAGAAGGGAGAGAAGAGGAAGTGAATGCTGATTTGAAGGCTTTGGTATTAAGGATTTCATTATCTTTAAAAGTATTCATCGAGTTGGACATTTTAGATGATTATATATGGAAGTCTGCTGAGTAAATGTTCAGTAATTCATGTGCAGTAGTGCAGGTGTTGTGCCTATGTAAACATGTTTTAAATAGGGTTAAAGTCTGATCTAGTTACGAAGATTTTCTGGATGAAGTTACTTAGAACATTGCAGGAGGGGGACACATTCAAATCTGTTGATGCAAAAAAGACTATTAGGTATCCAAGATTTTAGAGTACAAGTGCTGTATACAAATTCCAAGTAGGGTGTGTGTGTGTTACACACATTAAAACTTTCTGCCTTACTGCCTTGAGACAGGGTCTCCTAATGAACTGCAAAGAGGTTGACTTGGCAGCAAGCTCACGATTTACCTGTCTCTGTCCCACAAAGGATTCAAATGCAGATTTTCATGCTAACACTGCAAATACCCATCCATTAAAACATTTCCCAGTCCTCCGAATGTTTCATTTTCCCCAAGTATATTATGGTTTGCATTCAGGTAATAGAATAATTACTGTAGTGAAGCATATTAACGTCTATCGTTGTACATTGATTTAAAAGTAACTGAAAATCTCTGTCCCTATTATGGTACCAGGTTATTAACTTTAGTCCATGTTATTCATTAATGTTTTACATTTGTTTATCATGCATATCTGCTATTTTTTATCCTTTAACCTTCCTCTTCCCCAACTTGTAGCCACTACTTATTGAGTCATTCTCTGTATTAAAATATTGATCAACCCACAAATTACCATATGTCATATTAAATCAGACTAGGTTCATAGTGCATGAATTAGAATTCCCCTAGACTTAGCTCCATTTAATTCTCCAGAAAAGGCCAGTCAAGCTTCAAGAAGTTCCATGACTCAGAGCCCATTGAAAAGCTGTGTGTGAACCTAGGAACCAGGAAACCTACCTTTTAGACTTTTCTGACACATAAATATTTTGTCATCACTGAATCATTTACAAGTTATTGAAGACTCATGACTTCTGTCCATAACAGTTGTTCATCTCTGTCACATTTCCTTGTATCATTTAGCTTAGCTGACATTTAAAGTGTAATATTCCTGGTATTTTGTCATATGAAGAAGGACATTATGTCAGATGTCACTTTATAGTGTTGCTAGTCAAGTATTTAAGATTGTATAGGGCTAGGGAAATCTCTGTACTGCAGGTGCTTGCACAAGTACAAGGATCAAAGTTCAGATCCCTCATCAGCTACATACAAGCCCAGCAGAGTGCCATGTATTTGCCTCCAATGGAGTCCAGATTCAGTGAGATACTTTTTTTGAAAAAATATGGTGGAGAGCAAGAAAGGAAGATAGTGGACATGGACCTTTGGCATCCGCACACACACTTTGGCACCAACAATATACACATGGAAATAAGTGCACATTTGACAGGTGATCACTGGACGTTTCTACAATAATTTTAACTGGGTAATCTGTGGGAGTGAGCTTTGTCTTCACATAAATATTCTCAACAACATTTTATTGTAGATTTTAACCCATTGATTCTAGTCCTCCTGCTTCTACTTTCCAAATACTAGAACCACAGGCACATGTTATCTTACCTATGTAATATATTAGTTCACACTTGCCTTTTACATACATCTCTCCCTTTCTGATGTGTGAAAGGTTTTTTTATCAAAAGTTCAAAGATGTGCTGCTTGGGTAGGACTGCAGGTTAGAGGTTTCCTGTTAGTGAATAAGAAGCAAGAAGAGGAAGACTTTGGGAATCAAGAAAGAGGTGGCAGGGCAGATTTAAAAGCCTAGAGAAAACTAGACAACAATGTTAATTCCTCTCACATGACCCGGGCACAGGAGAAAGTTGGCAGCCACAACCAAGATAAGCCAAGTAACCTTCACAAAAAGAGGCTGCTTGGCAGCCAAGGGTTAAACCCCATTTCTCATGAAAGCATAAATATAGCGGGCAGATTTGCTGTGATGTGACTCCCGTTTGGCAGGCCAGTATGGGAAAAGAAAGCCATCCTGAGATGCCTGTCATGGTGGCGTAATGCCTTTAATCCCAGTACTCAGGAGGCAGAGGCTGGTGAATCTGAGTTCAAGACCAACCTGGTTCACATACTGAATCCCAGGCTAGCCAGGGTTACACAGATAGACCCTGTCTAAAAACAAGAAAAGAAAAAACGAAAGTAAGCCATTCTAATAGAGGATGAGTGTTGAAGCAGCAGGGAACTCAGGTTGGGAAGGCACACTGGTGGCCCTGCCTTCTGGGTTGAGAAGCCCTGTTGCTTGTGGATTACTGTGGAGACAAAACACCAAGCCTGCTGCCTATGGCTTCCATAGAGCTGTGTTCACACTCTATTCCCTTTGTTGTTGGTGCGTATGTGATCTCTGACCCCAGGTTTGGCCAATTGCTCAATTTCCACATTTCCTTACTGCTGGATAGGATCTAAAAAGTGTG